AACTCATTTCTTTCAGCAAGTCTCAGTTTCTGAATCTATAAAGGAAGAGTATAAAGAAAGCTTTCTAGAAATGATTACTATGAGATGATTAATGAAAGCATTTTGCAACTACCTGGCATATTTTAAGTCCTTAATAAGTAGGCAAAATAATTATGTTATTTTTGTTACCAAAATGATGATTCTCTATCATCATCATACATCCCAGGTTAAGTGCATGCAAACACAAAGGTGCAAGTTCAGTGAGAATATAGGTTTCATAAAGGGTGATAGAAAATGTTTGTTTTCAGTTGACATTCCCCAGGCTTACCAGACAGAATATCATTTTTTCTCCTTGCATTTTGCACATTTTTTCCTATATATTGTTTTATATATTTTCCCCAAAATAATTTATAATCTGGCAATCAACATGCATAGGAGAAAAATCAACTGAATAATAAGTATCTCCTCCTTTCCTAATCACCTAATTTTCTTCATAGAAATGGTTCAGGGAATGCAGTGGGAAGGAGTTTAAGCCAGAGATTGCCCAGACAGATTCGTTATTAAAAAAAGAAATTAAAATAATTTCCTAAGTGTAAAATATCAGTAAAATTCAATAAGTAAATAGCAGTAAAAAAATATCCCTTTGTATATAAGTATTTCATAGGTATGATAGTCATGTATGCAAACAAAAAGAGGTTTGCATTTTTTCACATATTCTTATGTTCATTTATAGGACTTAAAAATTCCATTTTAGAAATCATGTCAGGGGAATAGTTTTAAAAGAATCTTATAAAGTGAGATTACAATGCCATGACTTCTTGAGAGTATGTCAAAGATTCTTCCATTATCAAATGTTTCCATATGAGACTTAACCTTGATGCCACAATAAATAGCATTTAAATTTGTATATAAACCAAAAACAAGTTTTTTTGGGGGGGAGGAGAGTCTGCTTATTTACACTACAGCTCTAAATTGTCCATTAAGAGAGGGAAAAAAAAACAGCAAAAAAAAACTTTAAAAAAAGAAAACAAATCTGAAATACTTCATTATTTTGTGTAACTTCATAAATAATATATTAGTGAATATATTTTAAGAAAATGATTCAAACACACACAGTAAAAACAATACAACTTGAAAAACAGTTACTATGGAACATAGCTTTTAATCTGTTTTAATAGCACCTATAATAATCTTGAAAACATCATCTTAACTGGTGCCACACAAATGAACAATTCAAACTAACTGAATATAAATAGGATTTTCTATTAGAAAGTTACTCAGCAGTAATACTTTTTACAGTTAATTTACAGATAAGAGTCTCTCTAGCCTACTGGGATAGATCAAAAATTGCAATTAACAAGGTTGAAATGAATAAGGGTTGCATTCTGAATAATTTATTCTATATTTATACTCTGTGCTTAAAAAAAAAAAACTTGTCAATAAGTAGATAACCTGACCAACTGATTTTTACTTGTTCTATCTTTTTTGAGAAACATCTGAGATGCTAGAAAACTGATGGGGTTGAGGACAGGCCACCCCTAAATGTGAATATGTGGGCATATTAATTATTTTGATTTAAAGTTACTTAAACAGCTGGTGAAAGGATACACTGACCCTCTTTTGTTTTTCTGAAAACAAGGACTAATTCTCCCATGAAAAAGTATCCTCCTTATACCAGGAAGATAGAAGGCATCCTTATTGCCAGAGATAGGGAATCCAAGGCCAAGAAAGCAGTATTAATAGTTTGTTACCTCTTCATTACTTTGGAACCACAAGTTCAAATCCCTTTGTTTTGTCAAATCTTCACAAACAATTTTCTTTATCTAATAGGTAAAAAAGCTTCCTGCTTTGGTTACTTCTTTGGATATCATTTTTATGGGGCTCCCATATGCACATAATTTAATTTTTTTTCCTGTTTTTCTTCTCCTGGCTTCTGTGAATTTAACTACAAGTATACCTCATTTTATTTCTCTTTGCTTTACTCTACTCTGCAGATACTGTGTTTCTTGCAAATTGAAGGTTTGTGTCAACCCTGAACCTAGTAGGTCTATTAGCACAATTTTTTTCCAACAGCATCTGACTACTGCCTGTTTCTGTGCCACAACTGGCTAATATCTCATAATTTTACATCATTATATTTCTTATGTTGATCTGTGATCAGTAGTCTGTGCCATTACTATGATGACTTGCTGAAGGTTCAGATGATGGTTAGGAATTTAGCAATAAAGCATTTTTTAATTAAGGTATGTACACTGTTTTAAGATACAATGTTATCTCCCACTTGAAAGACTTCAGTATGGTATACAACATAACTTATATGCACTGGGAAACCAAAAATTTTTGTATGACTCACTTAAGTGTGATATTTGCTTTATTTCAGTGGTCTAGAACTGAAGCTATAATATCTCTAAGGTATATTTGCATTAGACAAGCCAAAAGAACCTAGAAAGTGATAGGAAAGCCCCTTCCTCCCCTACAGAGCCAAATAGCCACAAGCTTAGACAAGGAAGGGAGAAGAAACAGCAAGAGGAACACATTCACCAATGGACAACACAGCTGTCATTTACATCACAGAGACTGGAAATCTTAACACTTGGTAAACACGGCTAGTAACCTAAGTTACTGGAAGGAACTTGTAACCCATGCCTGTAAACCACATCAAGAACCCCTAGAGCAAGATGAGGGCCCAGCTGTCTATTGCCCTGGGCGGGGGGCTATGCTGACAACATCTGGGAGCAGCGTGAGTACCTCAAACGCGCTTGCCTCTGAGCACCAACATCAAGACAATATAGAAATCCTCAGATGTGCATAAAAGTTGCTCATCTCAGAGGCCACTTGGTTACGTGTATTCCTTTGCTAGATTTCTGTGGATTTTGTTCTGTGTTTATTCTTCACTGAATTCATTTCTACGCACTTAATACTGCAGACAATCAAATCATTCAAATTCCAGTCTATGGGACCCAATATACTTTCTACTCCTCCTCCTGATAGGTTCTATTATGAAAGGCCAGATGTTCTTTTCATAAGTTTTCCTCATTTAATCCTCATGAGAACTTTATAAAAATAGGCATTTTGCCTTGATTTTACAGATGAGGAAAGCAAGTACAACCAAGCTAACTGTAATTTGCTCAAGGTCACTGGGATAAATTCACTTAGTGGAATCTAAAGTGATTTAGGTTCCTGTGCCTCTAAAGGAAAAAGAACAATGCCCAATTTTTATCTACAGGCTGAATACAAAATCTGATAATGAAAATCTGCATATTGAATATATGACTCACAATCCATACTCATGAATCCTGACTTCAGGTATGCTTTGTAATAAGGTTCTGGGTTATTTCTGGGAAAATAGTATATCTTACACAAATTAATATTTAGTGGCATCATTTTGAATTTATTTTAAAATTTTAATGATGATGTTGAAATGTTTAATGGTGATGTACCTTTAAAATAAATAATGATGTTGAATCATCATCCATACACAGTTAACAGTATGTGGTGTATGACATCTGATGGGCCAACTACAAAGTGTATATAGTAACACTAATTCTTTTCCTTACAAACTTTCTTTACATAAGTTATACATATATAACTATTCTTTAATTTATTTTGTGTAGGAAAATGGAAATTTAGTATTAAGAAAGATAAGGCTTTCCCCATTATAAAAACAAGCATGTGAATTAACATTTTGGTGTAACCTATGGCTACCACATTACAATGTAAGAACTTTATTTGCTCATACTGTTTCAATTACATTCACTTTTCCATTTTAAATATTCTGAACAACTCCAGATAAGCACTGACTGAATTGCTTTAGTCCAAATTAAGTCCCTTGTATGGGTCCTATCTTGTAGAGGCCCTTGTTTCTTTTGTTCTATCATCTTCTACACAGAAGTATTAGCATTTCTCTTTGCCTTTAATTTCTAACACTACCTTGAATTTCAATTGTGTATCACATCTTAGAACCAACAGTCCAATAGTTTTTAATAGTATCATTTTACATCAGAGGCTTATTCTATGGACCACATAAAAATTCCTATTTGTTATAAATCTTGTAGATATTATTCCTTTATTGAATCATCACTATTAAAAATGAGATACTTCAAGTAAGTATATTTTCACATTTCTAAAACTAAGAAATTAGTGCTGAAAAGTTCCATGGTGCAGTGATTTTACTCCAAGATTAAAAAATATATAGTATTCAATTCAAAGCAAAATTATGATTTGCTTTTGAATATATACATTTAATATAATATAAAAACCCAGGTTCATTATTGGATGATGACAAATTAAGGCCTCTCAAAGAAGTATAAGAGATCATGAGGAAAATGATTACTGTTTGAAAAGATTAGCATAATGTATAGATATCTATGTGTAAATATGTAACATTATCTTCTAAAAGAATCCTTGTAGTTTGATTTTTCAAAGATCATTTATGGGAATGACTCAAAGCTGTCTTTCAGCACCATGAAGTTTCATGTGATGATTTACAATGGTTAACAAAGGTAGAATAAAAACTAAACACCCTGCAGAGTAAATGAAAACTGCTGAAAATTAAATATTAAAGGCTTAAACTCAAGTCATTGTAAGTATTAATAATGCCACAACAATGATGATCAGAGGAAGCCTCAGTACATCATATTACCACTGAAGCAATTGGTGTATCATTGGTGTATCAGATATTCACCAGTGAGAATAAAATATTATATGTATTAATTACATTAAGTTTTAAGCAACCTCCATATTTTAGATACTATAAAAAATTATCTTATCAAAAAAAAAAAACTTCTTCTCCAGAAAAAAAGTTTCCTCCCTACCCTACATAAACCAAATGGATTCAATAAGATCAATAAATTTCTGATTTAATTTATATTATCAATCTATAATATTTTCTTTCAGGCTCATGATCAAAGATCCATTGTATGAGCACAGATTTGTCATATTAAAAACTGCAGTGATTAACTGTAAAATATATATATATATATGTATATATATATATATATATATAATAAAATAAAACTTACCAACTGGTTCCTTCTGATTTTGAAAGAGAATCTTGCTATTACTGCCATCCATATTTGCCATGTTAATTGTGTTGCCATCTGTCCAGTAGAGTTTCCTTAATTCAAAAGAGATATGGTTTAAAAATATTAGACATAGACCTACTTGTTGACTAGAAGCATTTGTTGAAGAACTAAGTTAATATTAAATTATTGGTTCAGGATTTTTTATTTTCCAGGAAGTCCCCAAATTGTTGAGCCACTTGCCTGGGAAGAAGTACCACGCTTACTTTTTCCTGTCACTGAAGACCCATTATCTCACTTGTTTCTCCTCTACACCCATAACTGTCCCTGGGCTTCTCCAGGCAAGAATATTGGAGTGGGTTGCCATGCCCTCCTCTAGGGGATCTTCCTGCAAGAGGGATCAAATCCATGTCTCTTAAGTCTCCTGCATTGGCAGGTGGGTTCTTTACTACTAGTGCCACCTGGGAAACCCTTAACTTTAACTACAGTAAATTATTTCCATTTAAAATCATTCATCAATACTGAATTCTCTTGATTTAGAAAAATCAGGTACCAGAGAAGGGAACAAAGTCATTTCAATCATTCCTGTTGAATGCACTAAGGAGAAAGACTTTCTTTCAGCTCTACATGAGTTTTCTACAGGCATACCTGAAGACTAACCAGAAGATGGGAGAATGTGATCTAATTTGCAGTGACCATAACATCAAATCACAGTAAACATGTTATTAACAACTGGTATTTGAAATGAAATTAACAAATTTTCTGGGCTTCTCTCTCTTTTTTTACATTCTGAACTGTTGTTCTTTATCAACATAAATTGATAAAATTTCACAGTAATACATAAAAATTTGATTTCATGCAGAAAGCAGAAATCTTTAACCAGGGATCTCCTATAATTTCCATATTCACATTTGCCTTTTTTACTGTATAGCTTATATGTATATACACATATGTATATGTGTGTCTCTTCTGAATTCAACAACATTTTTACATAAAATCAGGACAAAGGTGTATAAAATTTTGAAAAACTTAAAAAAAAAAAAATCATACTTTACCCCCTGACTGGGTGAGCTGCTAGACACTGTGGCTTATCGATTCCGTGGATAATTGAGGTTTTCAAGGAGCCATCTAGTCTTGCCACATTAATTTGTGTTTCATCAAATTCTGAGCTAATCCAGTATAAATTACGTGAGACCCAGTCCACGGTTAACCCTCTGATACTTTGAATATCTGTATAACAGGAAAGAGAAAATCACAAGTGAATGAAATTTCTCATTCTTTTGGCTTTCCAAGTCAGTTATTTTCTGTCTCGGGGAAAATTTAATTTACACTTTAATTTGTTAGCTAAAATTGTACAAGATTGTAATCTTATTCCCTTATCAGCCCTTCTTAAGGCATGAATAATCGTTAATGTCTTACTGCTGAGCCATTTGAAAACCTGAAGTAACTATTAGCATTGAAATTGCACTAACAGTCAATGACTCGCTAGTAAACACTAACGAGAAGATGCAGGCAGAGGTCCTATGGGCCAAGGTGACCAAAATTCAAATTAGAGTAATAGCTTCTCTAGTTGGTAGCACATCTTTCTAGGCAGGAGAAAGTACTTGTGGGCCATCAACAAATGGGCCATTTTATCTGTTAAGTGCCAATTTGTTACTGAAGTTAAATAAAACAATTCAACTTTCTGAAAAGAATTACTAGAGAGTTGAACATCTTTAAAAAGGATAATTAACAGAATTTGACTGAAATATGAGCAAAGAAACTGAAACCCTTTTAACATTCCTCCAAGGTGGATTCTATAGAAATTACTGAAATCTAATTATGTTTTTACTCATTACAGCCAATATGAATATTTGGGTTGTTATTACTTGATTATTCAATTGGGCCTCTTTTTAAAAAAATGATGGAAAGTAGGCTTAAATATTATTGCACATTTTAATTATAGAAACAAATTAAAAATAAAATGTTAAAACAATGGATACTAGGAAATCTTTTCAACATATTAACAGATACACAGTTCGGTTCAGTTCAGCTGGTCAGTTGTGTCTGACTTTTTGCGACTGCATAGACTGGAGCATACCAGGCATCCCTGTTCATCACCAATTCCCGGAGTTTACTCAAACCCATGTCCATTGAGTCGGTGATGCCATCCAACCATCTCAGCCTCTGTTGGCCCCTTCTCCTCCCACCTTCAATCTTTCTCAGCATCAGAGTCTTTTCCAGTGAGTCAGTTCTTCACATCAGGTGGCCAAATTATTGGAGTTTCAGCTTCAAATCAGTCCTTCCACTGAATATTCAGGACTGATTTCCTTTAGGATGGACTGGTTAGATCTCCTTGCAGTCCCAGGGAGTCTCAAAAATCTCCAACACCACAGTTCAAAGCATCAATTCTTCAGTGCTCAGCTTTCTTTATAGTCCAACTCTCCCATCCATACATGACTACTGAAAAACCATAGCTTTGACTAGACAGACCTTTGTTGGCAAAGTAATGTCTGCTTTTTAATATGCTAAGTTGGTCATACACAAGGCCAGTTTAATTTCCAATTTGTAGTATTTGAATGCATTAACTGAGTATTGCCTTTTTTTTAAAAAGTTTTATATTTCCTAGCATGCTGTACCTCTAAGGGTTCTCCAGACTCCTGTTACTCAAATTTATCAGACATTTGGAGACTGCGCAAATGAAGATTCTGATTCAGTAGATCTGAGAAGGCCCCTAAGATTCTGCACTTAAAACTAATTCCCAAGTGCTGCAGCTACTGCTCCAGAGCAGCAGTTCCCTGCCAAATACTTCTAGAAATGCAGAGTGGCTGCTACTCAGCTCATCTAATTTCTGTCTGTCCTGTGCTCAGTCATGGCTGATTCTTTGTGACACCATGGACGGTAACTTGCCAGGCTCCTCTGTCCATAGAATATACCAGGTAAGAATACTGGAGAGGGTTGCCATTTCCTCTTCCAGAGGATCTTTCCAGGCCAGAGATCAAACTTGTGAACTTTTGTCTCATGTGTCTCTTGCATTGACAGGTGGATTCTTTACCACTGTGGCACTTGGGAAGCCCATCTAATTGCTACATCTTCCCTTTTTATAGTTTTTAAAAGATGCCATCAAGCAACATTTTCAAAAGGTGAAAACTCCAGATTTGTAAAATTTGCCAGCTAGTTCAAAATTTTAAAAAAGGGATTCCTGGCAGTTCTGAGTCAGCTGTGATGTGTAATGCTGGCATAGGAGACTCAACCTCAAGTTTACATCCTTGAGTCTTGACAGAGCCTGCTTTCCTGCTCAATATTCATTTCATTAGTTCTAAATAACTTGTAATCACAGTGTCCTAAAAGGTATTCCCCATGTTTCAATTTATCCTCTAAGCAGCAACTTCTCACTCTGCAAGGTACCTTTCATCATTAATTTCTGTTAAGTTGGCAGATTTTGAATGCAAACTTCATTTCTCAACCCAATGCTGGAAATTTATTTGTATTTTTACTTATTCTCATCCAGTCTGCCTTTCACTGAGAAACAATAAGAATAATAATAACACAGCACCTTTGTAAAGCTAGACCTTCCATGTCAGATGCTTATTTTGACTCACTCAGGATATTTTTTCTTCTTCCTTTACTCTCTGGACTTAATTGGTTACTGAGAAACAATAATGAGAATTTCTGGCTTTTGTTCTAGGTTGGGTGCCTATTTTTTGTCTTTAATGAAGTCACTTAAATTTCGGCTTCTTTTTCTTACCAGCACAATGAGGCTAATTATAGATAATTCATAGGATTTTGTGAATATTAGATGATGTGTGTTTATGTAGCTTAATTCAGGATTGAGGGATACTTTGCCAATCCAAGGATTTAATGTTTTCTGCCTTTTTATCCTGAATTGCTTGGTACTGCAAAAATAAAGTTTTTATTTCCTCTAAAATACATGCTATCCAAAGTTTGCTTGCTTATTTTTTTCCTGCTGTCTCTGCTCCTCATAATTCATTTACTTGTTTCTGACTGACACCTAAACATACAACCTAGAGAATGCATCGCCCTTTTAAATTGGAAAACATAGCCAAATGCAATCTGTATGTTGTGCTTAGTCGCTCAGTCATGTCCGACTCTTTGTGACCCCATGGACTATAGCCTGCCAGGGTCCTCTGTCCATGGGATTCTCCAGACAATACTGGAGTGGGTTGCCATGGCCTCCACCGGGTATTTTCCCAATCCAGAGATCAAATCCAGGTCTCCCACATTGCAGGCAGATTCTTCACCATCTAAGCCACCAGGGAGGCCTAAATGTAAGCTATGAATGCCTATTTAGTCCCTGTCAACTCTACGGTCTGTGCTCTCTCAAATCTATTTCTATCTTTAATGCTGCAGAGCATACAGTCTTTTTCCTCTTTCAGGCAGTTGATTTAGTTGCCTCCAGGTTATTTTCTTACTAGAGAGCTCCAGATCATGACCTTCAATTGCCCAAGGTATTTGACTGCTTCCAACCACTCAAAGTCATGCTGAAATTCCTTAGCCTGGCTTTCTATATAATCTGAATATAACTGTCTGTCCAACCTTATTTCTCACCATTTTTGACCCATTATCTTTCCCTTGAGTCATATTGACATTCTCTCAGATTTCCATACTTGTCCTGATCTTTCCAATCTATATAGAATTACCTGGACCTCATACCTATTCGTTTTTCTAAAGCTCATGCAAAATAGTTTAGTTGATAGGCAACATTGCCCTTCAACCACAAAAACCTAATCAATTCTTCTATATGTTCCAGTCTTAAAGATTTTCTCTATCTATCTAACTCAATGGGACTGTATCTGGTCAATCCTTTTCTATGTAACATGATAATTATTTATGAACATACTACTTCTTTCACATATACTTCTTGAAGATAGGCCCCTTGCTAATTTATCTTTATAGCTCTTCTCCTCAAACAACAATAACATTGCCTTCAAAGTAAATAGCTTTTGATGAATTCATAATATGGACAAACTATAATTATAAGGATATGTGAGCTAAGATAAAAATATCAGATGTAAGATCCTCAAGAGTATTTTCAGGAGTACACATCTAAACATATTCAGGTAATCTCAGTTCTCATTTTCTATCCTAACCCTTCTTCTGTCCATTAGTTTGGAGCTTCTAATTATCAGCTTTATGTCTAAAATAAAACTTATATCTTTTTTGACCATCACTACTGCCCAAGTCTTATTGTTTTGGAATGTCCTAGTAAATTCACCATAAAGGGGTCAGGGTAAGAATAACAACTGAAATACATTTAATGATATTTTTGCTTTTTTGATAAAAATACTGAAATAATGAATTGATTCAACTCCTTGTTTCAAGTCAAGCCAAGATCTCTGAGCAAATTTTTCAGAAAGTTAAATTTCCTATTTCCAATGACTCTCACTTCTTAAAGTAAGGCAGATTAGATATTCCTAAAAGTCTTCCACTGCCACAAAATTCCCTGATGTATGATAAACTAAAACTTTGAAATGTGTTGTTGAGATCATAAGACAGATGGAAAAATCTCTAACTGCTAATACACAATTGTATGTTACATAAAATCATAAAGGAAGCCAAGTAGGAACATAGAGGTTGGTGGAGCCATAGGGGCAACAATTTGGAATGAAAATCTAGAGATTCCTGGATTACTAGTTGCTCAGTGCAAGAGTGTTCAGTCTTTAAACCGACAAAAAGTAGCAGACCTAAACAAGCGCAATTCCCGGATATCAGAATGGTCAACATCCTCAGGTGAGTTAAAAAAGGAAAAAAAGATATATATATATATACCTGCTTTAAAAGGAGCATGATTCTTTAAATAAATATAAAAATTTCCTTCTGTCTCTCCTGGGTATGAGAGAAAAAATCTAAGCATAGGTCTATGGTAGGGCAAGAGATGCATCCATTGTTTGTGTAGAATGGTTCTTTGCTTATAATGACTCCTTTTTCTCCAAAAGAAACAAATTCAAATCCTCTAAGGAAGAAAAAAAAAATTTTCTCCACTCAAGCATTTACAATTTCTACACTGAATTTGTTCTCATAATAGGTCAGAAAAATTAAAACACACACAAAGAATAAGACATAAGAGGAAGAATAAAGAGAAAAATAAAGAGTAGATTTAAGTTTCCAAAGCCTACATGGTTTTAAATTATTATGTGTAACATAAAGAAAATTGAATCGATGATTTTAAAGGAAAAAAATATACCTCAAAGTAATAAGCAAGGTGCAATAATTTATTTTTAAAAATCTTC